ATTATCGATTGTAATTTTGGCAACACCTGGCGAGTATTCGGTGTACAGATTATTGACAAAGTCGCTAGAACAGTCTTCCATTCATGACTTTTGTTCCGTTAAATTTGCCCAATTTTTTTATTAATGAACTCGATTTAACTACAAACAGTGAGTATTCAGGCAGATTGGCAGGCTTCAATGCGATGTGGCAAAAGAGATATACGCCTTTAAAATTCTGTTAATTTTGCGGGTGTAAAAAATTCAAAAAGTATACCCACCAAAAGTTTAATCGATCGTTACGAAAACGTTATCAATTACGAAGTAGTTTCTAAAAATACAATAAAGAGGGATTGTTCTTTCAATCTGTATTGGCAAAGGAAGATTAGCTTTGAAGACAGGGTTGTAGTCGAAGGCTCAAAAGCAGCTTCTATTAACCAATATGGCGCCGGTCCGAGGCACCCAAAAACCGGCCATGTCGATAATTTCCGAAGTAGGAGGAATTAGAACCTAAAGTTACCTATTCCTTATTAAAGACCTCAAATCAAGTCTACATGCCAATTTTTAGCCAATTCGGTGAGATAGGGTGGCAGTGCCTTTTTAATATAGCTCGAATCTTACAGACAACTGCTCTTAAGGTACGAATTAGAAACGGTGAGTGCTGAAGAAAGTGTACCTGTGGTACTGATTTCAACCGCTGCACTATCCAAGTGTGGTGTTTCCATGTTCGCTGGTTCAGGAATTTCTCTTTCCACGTCTTGTTTGCTTTCTTGTACACGATGTGGTCTACTGTTTGTAGTAAACAGGCCCTTATTATCTACTGATTTTGAATCCTTAACGTCGAATGATGTTACCGTATCCATATCTATTATCTGCATATTGTATGACTGTGAGTTGGCTCGTCGTAGAGGAACGTTTTGCACAAGAGTTGCGCAGTTTAAGCTGTCTCCTTCACAGTAACACAACTCTGTTTCAGATTTGCCCCTGCATGCGCTCATATCTTCACACGTTTTATCGTGGAAAGAACCTTCCAGCAACCTTTCACTTTCTTGACATAAAAAACTTTTGCTTGCTGAAGGCAGACTTTTGGCTTCATCCGTGCTCAACTGTTGTGAATGATCGAAGCTTTTTGGCGACCTCTCTTTGTTAGAATCCACTGTGCCAAGTGACCCGCACTTTCCGCCTTCTCCTTGCGACTTAACGACTGCATCAGAAATACGTCCAACACTATCTGAACTTGAAAGGAACTGAATTGGAGATTTAGGACTTGCTCTAGAGAAGCCGGACGAAGAATCTTCACCAGAGGAATGCGTCACCTAGGATTCTGTACTTGCAGAGAGCGAGCATGCTGATATTGACCAAGCTGGAGTGGTAGCCGACACTGATGTGTTGTTGCACAGTTCTCCGTTAGGCCTCGAAGATGCCACCATTTCCGTTACGCAAAGATTGCATTCACTTTTGTCTTGAGAAGAACGGAACGTTACTGTGACTTCTCCCGCTGTCACATCTGACACTTCAGAGGGCAAGACAGCTGAAGAATTAACGACCTGTACTTTTTCCATCGGTTCCTGGATATTTATCGCCACTTACCTTTTGTGAACTCTTTTCAAAAGCCCACTGATCCACCGTTGATGCTACTGGGGATTTCTTTAGCGTCACATAGCAGCATTCTAACGCTACAGGAGACGAAGCTGGACTGCTTTGGAAATTGGCGCCTTCCTTCCGAACAGCTGTCGTGTTCAGTTTCCTCGACTGATCCTTGGATGGTCGGCGGTTTCTTAAAGGATTTACTTAGTGTCGCGCGAGTTCCTTCCAGTTCGCTCAGTTCAGGCGAGGAACTTGAGGTAAACCCTCGCAAATCAGATGAAGTATTACAAGTAGATTGTAAGCTTTGAGGTGGTTCGATCTCGGATTCAAATTGGCTTATATTCCCCTTCTTTGGAACCGTGGATGACATCTCTTGATCAAAGGTTGCCGTCTTATTACCAGACCCTTTAAAATTTGAGATGCTAAGATTATTTGAATCCCAAAGTAAATTTCTAGCTTCCAAGCCTTTACCATTTTTTATCGAGTCATTGCCAGGCGCGTGAGCATCATCGCCACTGATATCTTCGCACGTACTGTCGTCAATGGCAACATCTGGTTTTACTGCAGGCGCTGCTGAAGTCTTTGCCTGAGAAACGCTAGTCTTTCACACAAGCCTGCACCTCTGCAAATCTTCTTCACAACATTTGACATATTCTTAGAAAGTCCGTCCGGGAACGACACAGATCTTTTCTTCATTTGTTGAGGTCTCGTGTTAACACTAAATATTGGTGATTTTTCTGGTGATGACACGACAATCTTTGCTGTATGTCGCGTACTCAGATCAAATGACGACTGTAAAATACTTGGCTCCTTCTCCACAGTTGTACGAGCTGAGCTGCTGCAGACAGAGCTTTGGAAGAATGGACTGGTTGGCTGGTTGGCTTGCTGGAGTCTCCCTTTCACATAATCTTGCAAGTAACAAGTTAACTCAGGTATCAAGCCTTCTCTTAACCATTAAGGAGAATAAAGGCTGCATTAGACAGTGTAACGTTTCTTGCAAATTACCTCGCAACACCATTTTGACACAAGTGTTGAACGAAACATTGCACAGCGTGACATACTTTATAACAGCCAAAATCTTGAGCTGCGGAGGCCGTTGCAGAGCTGAGTCCGATGAAGTTCTGCTTTTTGAGGAGCTCGTCCCCAGGTAGGTTACACTGAGCAAGGTCTGAAGAAAGTTGTCTCGCAGTGGTGTTAAACACGTTAAAATTTTGCGAGTCATGGTGTATGCAATGAGATATTGCACAGTGAAACACTGCCTTTATACTACTGGTCACTGGTGTGAGCGTATCTTGTCTGAAGACAAACCACAACGTATTACCTTTTTTCCGCGATATGTTACTCTCACGTTAGACTGGAATAACATCAGATGACAAAGGATCTCCTTTAAGATGGAGGAAGACTTACCAAGATGAATGGCCATTTTGCACGAGGGAACAAGGAACATAGTGGTAAACAAGTCAATGCACAATGCACCAGCCTGTGAGTAGCGAAATGAATATGACATACAATGAGTGCCAGTATTGCCACAAGAAGCACAGGAAGAACCACTGGGAACCGCGCGACTATCCTGTAGACAAATTTGACCGTAAACTGAAAAGCGACTATTTGTATACTGACACAATCTGACCGAGTGCTACGCATTTCATCGCATTCAGAAAATAAGCTAGACATCTTAAAGGTTAAATCGTCGTTAATTTGATGACCCGCATTTTATTTTAAATTTCTGAAAGCCGGTCTAACTTAGACCGCGGTTTAAAACGGTCATTTCACCTCCAGAATGTTCTAGAAGTGAGATTCCTCAAGTAAATAAATGCTTTAATTTCTCCTCAGCTCTTGCCTTCTCGACACTGTTTTCGACAGTGAACAAGTTTGATGTAATGGCATTGGCCAAAATAGAAATGACGTAAAGCGCGGTTTTGTTTTGTTTAAGCAATTCTGTTTAACTAACCGGCCCTAAATGTTCAAGCAACTTCTACGAACTAGGAGTCTAAAGACTAAAGGGGGCACTGTTAGCATAATATAAACAATGGATATCAGTGACTAGATGCCAAAAATAACTTACTGATTTTGCTTTGCCAACGAGTTGTCTGGAGAAGCTAGTCAACCTTTCAGTACTGTGTTCCTCTTGAGCCACTTTCATGGTACAAACGCTTAAGATGTGGTTTCGGTAGAGCACTGTGCAAAAGAAAGTAAACCAATTTATTACATAGAGGCCGTTCACACCTGTACACCATACTTGTAATCTCTGTGCGAACATTCCAAGAAAGGAATGAGGGGATCTTTGTAAACAACACTGTTTTTGACGGTGTTCTAGCTACACCCTTCGAAACAGGAATTTTTCTACTTTCCATGATCCTATTGAATGAACGTTTTCAACTGAGTGCCGAAAACAATTACACAGCTGCCTTGGTTTTGAGTTGTTCTATGACTGGATCAAAAAACCTGCACAAAAATTTTCGACCGACCTAAAAACCAATAACGACTTAGTCCCTCTCGTGTTCTCGCGCTTGTCGCCGGCAGCGTTTACTTGCTTTGCGTTATGGTTGCCTGGTAAAACTAAGTCGTGAATTCAGTGCTATGATCTGTGGTTGGCTAAAGAGTGTAGTTCCTTCAGCACGCGATTGACTCTCATTTTGGTTACTAATTACTCTGGTTTTGGTTGGACGACGCTCATGGGAAAACGGATCCGAATGGATCCTCTCAATTCCTTATTGCCTACCAGCGAACTATTCTCTTTTAAACATGTGCAAAGGAAACAGTTGCTTCAACTGTTGAGAGTACTCACAAGGCGATTTCCAGGCACTTTTCACATCACCTGGCAACAAGAGAGCGAGCTGTTTTAATGGAATTTTCTTGGACACATCCAAATACGATTTCCTGAAAAAAGAAAACCCATGCAGAAACAATGCAATAATTAGTGAGAGGCCAAGGTATGCTCAGGGTAGATTTTCTTTCCAATCTATTAAGCAATGCCTGTATTGAGGACTCACCAAAAGTTGAATCCAAGTTTATGTCCTGCCAATAATGACACTCGACCCAAGCTCTTCTTACCACTAGTTATCAAGCCCCTCCATACGAGAATGCCATCTTCCACATTAAACGCGGGGGCCTTGAATACCTGTGCGGGTGATTAACTAAGTCTTAACCAAGTGGGTTACTGTTTAACTTATAACCTATGACACAAGTGATGACACTGTGCGCTGTGCGCCCAGATTTGTCTCCGCCTGCAAAAAGCCATTCATCACCCGCAATTAGTGAATCACATCATCGTTAACCATGATCAGATGAAATTGCGAACATTCGTACTTCAACAAAATTGCAGCTCAAATAATGAACTAAGGAAACTAACACAGTAAGCCGGCCTTAAACCGGAATATAAATGACCAAGTTGTCTTGTAAGTATGCGCTGCTCTTACCTCGGTATGTTTTGCAACGAATTCCTTTCCTGGGATCAAAGGCATTACAACGGACATCAGCGGTCTTCTACTGCACAGGCTCGATATCTCGTTTCCCTTCACAGGTATAACCGCGAATGGCAGACAGTGTCGTGGCCGCTTGACTGGAAGACCTTCATCATTGTATTCGTATAGATAACACTGAAAGATTTCAAAGAGCAGTTAGAAAGAGGACATCCGTTATTACATGCGTGAAAACTGTCTCCTGATAACGGTGACTCAAGGCGCAAACTCCCGTCCAAACCCATACGAGTGGCACAATATCGGACAACTACTATGTCACATTATTAAATTTTCAACCTCGGACATTGCGTTTCTAGCGTTGGGGTTTGTTCATTCAGTCTTGGTTTATCATTTAACCTGAGGCCTTTTCTTCCAATGCATAAACCCTCAGGCAGCGTTTACACGGACCTGGTTTCAAATCGACACAGTTTCAAGGGTTCGCCGTTTCCTCGAAAGATGGATCCGTATCGATTTCAAAACGCTTCCCATTTGTCAGCGTTTTCAAAACGACCCGGTTTCGGTAACGATCTCGATCGGCATCGTGTAAACAGAAGGCGAAACTGCATCGGAAACGATACATGAAACCGTATCCGCGTAAACGCAGTTTTAGTGAGCAGGTTATTTCTTCAACAGTAATATAAGTACCTGAGTGCTCCTTAAGAGTGTAGTTAGGTCCGTAACAGAGGAGTTAGCCGTGTTTCTGGGTACATGACAGTCGTGATTTGGAGTCGGTTCCAAGTTAGGTGTCCCAGGAGATGACTTTGGCGCAACAGACTTCACTTTTCCTTTCACAATCTTTGGGATAAAGTAACAAAACACGACCAATTATTCTTACGAAGATGCTCGTTATGGAACAACGCTTCCTTGCACACATTTTCACTGACACGATGAAGTGCGATTCGCCACAATTTTAAACGCTTCAGAGAGGACAGCAAGTATTGAGTACAACTGTTTTGCGATTGAATTAATAGTTAATTACATTAACTATTAACAGCGGTCCGTTCTGTAGAACTCGAGACTGAAGATGACTCACGCCTTCAGCTTCGACTTGTATGACCAGGGGAGTGAAGCATACCCTTTATCACACCTGCATAAATCTGCACATTTTGCGATCTTTTTGTACCTTTTCTATCTTAGCTAACAAACTAAACCATACCTGGATAAATGAAACATTTTAAGATCGCCACAGGGGCGGTGCTCTTCTTTAGTGATGTTCTTTTCTTTCCGATGCCACTTAATTTTTTCTCTCGGTCTGAACTACCCACTACTACTTTAGAGACGATAGTACGCAATAGTACGTTCGTGCAGTCTGCGCTATTCATACTTACTTTGAAAACTAAAAGGAAGGCTGATCCTGATGCAGGCCAGTTAAAAGCCCTGAGGCACAAATCTGGACATCTCCAAACTGTCACCCCCATCCCCCCATCCCCAAGGGTGTGGTCAGTCCCTGTGCACTCCAGCCCAATCCGGCATATCTCCTTCACATGGATATCATCCGTCTCCACACCTGAGTAAGCTCCTTGGGGTTTCTACCCTGTTCCCGCAGTTCAGCTCTCTTTTCATGATATTCCCTCTCAAGGTATGCATTATCAACTCTATTGATGTGTACGATGCTAACACCACGGACACGCTCATTTGTGTCCCACATCTGCCGTTTAACAGCATTTTCTATGTCTTTTGCTTCTCTGGAGTTGACTGGCAAAGTGTATTGACAATCTATGATAACAAACATCACGTTAAGGTTACCCAAAATGGAGGGAAAACAGAGACCATGCTCAGCAAACAAGTTTTCTCATATTGGACTAGCTACTTACACCATGGCTATGGTTTGGGTGGAAGTATGTGATTTCGAAGATAACACGGTATAAAACAGGGGAGGGTAGACTATGGTGGTGATTGGGGACCAACCCAGTGGTAAACTTTGTTAAGATCATTGGATGGGATGACAGACATCTCTCCTGCCTGCAAAGGCAAAACAGTTCTAAAGTGAAACAAAAGTCAAGAATCCTTACATGTTTACATTCAAAATTGGAGTTCCCCCTATATTAGGTTTGAATACACTACCTCAGTTCTCACCACCATTTTGGCGGGTATGCAAAGGGGACAAGAATTACCGTGCTTGTATGTGAATTCGCAACCTAAGAAGTGTGCAAAGCCCCTATTCTACTGAAAAATATATATTCCTAATTTTAATTACTAGGCAAAGGGTTTCTGTCAAAAAAATTGAGGGATTATTAACATCCTATGGCTATTTGAATTTTTCTATACAATCGTACAGTAAATTCCTAAGAAAAAATTATTACAGACGTATGTGTGCAAAAAAAATTCGAAAAGCCAGAGTGTGAACGCTTTCTGGCTCAGCTAATTCCTTCAATTTTTCTCGGTAAAAAAGATTGGGAGGGGGGCGGAGGAGAATTGGGGCACCCCGCCTTGTTTTTTGTTGTTGTCTTTGTTTGTTTGTTTGCTTGCTTGTTTGTTTTTGTTGTTGTTGTTGTTTGGCACCAAATTCCCATACAAACACCCTATATCTCTCGGTCATTTGCATACCCGCCAAGATAGTAGGGAAAAACTGCTAGGTGGATTCTCACCATGTCTCACTATGAATTTTCATATGGAGTGTATTTCCAATTCGCTAGTCCATACGTTTAAGAACAGCAGACTTATCGTTTTGAAGTGACGTATCACGCAGGAAATGTCGAAGAGGCACATTTCAGCTTGAAAACTTATGTTACTGGGAAGTATTCTAAAATTATAGTAGAATGTCAGTATTTTCGTCTTAGTCAAACCTGGAGAGTTTTAAACCCGTGGTTAAGTTTTATGACGAGTAATCGTATAAACAAATACAATTTGCGGAAAATAAAAACTCGCTACTGATCAAAATAGCCATGACTATTTGAATAAATAAATAAGCTGACTGTAGCACGCAAAAAGAATCGCACAAACATTTTACTAATCTTTTACGCTACAGACGATAACATCGGGCTTCACAAAATCGTGTCAACAATTGTAAGAATTAATTTACAATTTTTCCCTGTTTATACTCGCCTTCCGCGGGTCTTCTTTCTTTACGTGGTATCTTGAACTGGCGATGAACTCCAAGAAAGTCCATGATATAAACAGCTACAAACGTTTCACTAATAAAAGATGAGAGGAAACAAAACAAAGCACTTTACAAAACTCCGAGTGGAGAAAACAAGAAATTCATCACTGGCCTTTAAATATAAAACAATACTTCACTGAAACCTGCGAAGCCAGTTATTCATTTTATTAAAGTAGTCGCCGTAAGTTTATTTTACTGACGTACGTGAGCTTAATTCCAATACACACTTTGAAAGCGACTTCTCTACATTCGAACCACAGAATTTTGTATCAGTCGAAATAACTTATACAACACACAACTGATGCAAGCTAAACGCATAATTTACATGACAAATTGGTCCACCTGCTTATTGCTTGTTTCTAATAACAATTTTACATTGACGTGTTTTTCAAAGAGAAAACTGTCGCTGAGTGAATGAATAAACTAACCACAAACTTGATGCGAACGCATTCTTTGTTAATACCAGGCCAATTGTGTCCAATTGTCACACTATAAATGAAACCATACATTACATAAATCATTTAAAGAAACTAGAAAGGATTAAACTTAACGGAAGTAGAGAGACCTTTAATTTAACAACCGACAAAACATCTGTCAACAGTTTGCTCTGATCGGCGAATTCCCGCGGTGAGTGCGGACAAAGTGACTGAGTCCTCCACGAATAAAAACAAACTACTATTGCAATTGTTTCACTCAAGAAAGGCGTGGAATGCCAATAGAAAACGAAACATGGAACAGCCAAGCTGTTCCGAACTTTTCGAACCCCCCTGTGTAAGCAAATATAAACATATTTTAATAAGTTCGCCATGTTTCGATTCAATGGCAGAATCATCTCGTATCAGGCATACCAGGAAAGAGTTTTCCGCCTGAGCGCTAGTGCTGTGCTAAACATAACACCTACCAACAATTTCAATTGCACCACGGCTGAATTTTCAGCATAGGCGTACGGGCAATTTTTTGCCAGGGGGGCGGTAAACTATTTGCCCAAAAAATTCCCCCAAGTTGCCCAAATTTTTACGAAACAGTAGAAAAGAAACGAGGGCCATACGATGCAACAACGTGGGCCGTACTGGCATATGAAGGTGGCTCGATACTGTAACAGTTTTTCAGGGTCAATACTTCCCAATTTTGAGCATAACTACGTCGTCATAGACAAACATTTGGAAAAATTGCTACCATAGTTTTATTAGATATAGATAAAAATTTATCATAGGTTTTAATGACATGGGAGTTGTCATAGCAACGAAATGACGCCATTGTCTATTTTACTTGCAGCAATATTTCTTGGCACTGGGAACTGTTCCTACAAAATCGTTCACGGCAACTTTTTTCTCCAACAGTTGCGTCGATGTTCGTGAAGTTAAAATGGAATCTATAAAAGAGTTATCGGGATATTTTGGGATGAAGTTTTAGAAACATGCTAAAAAATAATCTTGATGTTTGGCCGCTATCTGTAGAAAACGAATCTCTTTTGACATGCAATTTCACTTCATAGTAGCTTCAATCTTTTTAAAAACGTGTGTAAAAGATCATGGAGGTAGCTCCTGCCGATCGCTAGAGAGAAGATTCCATTTCATTGGTATGTATCGAGGCGCTCTTGTTAGCGGTTTTGTAAACATTTCGGTCTGCTTTAATAAATTATTGCTTGATAGATTATGAAAAAAAATTAATATTCGTCTCGTAATTCGAGCTGAGTTCTAGTCAGCCACTTCTTCATTTTCACACCCACTGTTGCTGTATGCTATCTACCATACATTGTTCTACGGGCGGAGATGATTCTAGGAAGATATGCGAAAGTTTATTCTAATCAAATCACGACTGGAAACAGCCCATTCCATTCAGTGCAGTGCAGTACAGTGCTCAACAATAAAAAACTATAAATATGTAATCAACAAATGATACCCTTCCCTATAGCCAGAAACTCATCACGTGCTAAGCAACCACTGTGAGTGTCTCGAAAGAATGTGACTGGATTATTACACTGACTTCAGGATCTTTTTCAGATTAAAATAGAAAATATTTGTCTTTAAACTAATAAAAAAACACGGAAACGTCTTTAAAAAATGGCTTTGCCCAAATTTTCTCTTGCTGCCCAAAAAATCTGAGTTGCCCAAAATTTGGGGGGGCTGCAGCCCCCCTCGCCCCCCCGGCCCGTACGCCTATGATTTTCACAACCTCTTCCATCTTGTAGCAGTAAATAATTAGGTACAAAGCTTCTCTTCAATTAACTCCCTACGTACGCTCCGCGTTTATCTTCCAAATGGCAGCCAGCCGTCAATGTGACAACGTCACTAATTCTTTTGGGCGCCAAAATACAACCAATCAAATGCTTCCATTTGGCAGCATCGAGAAAATGTATTTCCTTTCGGGACAATTAAAGACAATTCTCGAATGAGAACACACAGAATCTTAGTTCAGTTTTACCTGTTCTTTCGGGAATTATGCCTTTTAATAGCATTCTGTTTATTGTGCTCCCAATAGCAGAAGAACGGAATAGACTACCTCGCAGTTTTCGCGCAATTTTCGCCATTTTAGCGGGTATGCAAAACTAACGCTCGGAATAACCTGGACACCACTTAGACTGACATTTTGACGGCCGCCCACGATTCTCGCCCCAAAATCTCCCCAGAAGAACTCGTATTGTGTGTATTCCTCCGCAACTGAACCAATAATGTTTAAAATTAACCTTATTCTAGTTTTTCTGTTTATCCTAAACCGGAATAGGAATAAACAGAATAGTCCAAAAGTGGAGGGGTGGCACATAATGAGGGTGTGGATGGGGTTAACCGATAGCTGAGATTGGGCCAAAATTTTAACCGTGTTACCTGAGAAACGATGTGTTTTTAACGGATAGCTGAGAATCGTTAAGTAACTGTTAGCTGAGATTAGTAAATTGTGTCTGAATATCCTGTGAAATTATCAAAAAATAGGCCAATTTTAACATGAATTAACCCTTGACGGGACCATTGGGTACCATTACACTACCTTACAAAGCTTACACTAAAGAACTTGCGTGACAAGATACTCTTTCAATCCGGGTAATTCGAGCTTGGGTTCGCGCGGGCTGACCGGGAGGGTTGTTATAGATGACCTGAGGTCATGGCGTTGAGTGACTCGACTGACTTGTGTGCGGAGGAACTGTGAAAGTGATACTAATCTTCTTTCGGCACGGCGAAGAAGGAGTCTTTGAACGGCATCGAAGTCGAACCTCGCTCAGCTGCCAAAAACACCATCGTTTACAAGATGTGAAGAAACATCTTACTGATTTTTTAGGAATCAGCGAACAGGCCGGCCAGAAAATATGGCCTTGGGTCGCAT